CGTGTGTGTGTGGCCGAATTGTCCCTCCGTGTTGTTCCTACAGTTAAACAAATACAGTGAACGCTGTATGACCAAATTGTTAACAAGCGGTCTAAAACAAAACAAAGAGAAGAGCTTCTGTCGCAGCCCTGGGCTTCGAATCGATCCCCGAGTCAGGGACTGTCGCCCCCGGCGTCTGGGCGACGGGAGGAAAGGGAAAGTGTGACTGGCGGACGAGCGGGCGCCCGCGAAATCGCATAAAAACTTGCTCCGCGCGATTATCGCCGTCCGGATGCAGAGGCTGGTTGGGGCGGTTAGGAGTTTGAAGCGGTGACAGCTTTTGTGATGGAATTTGCGGTCTGAGCGTTTGTTTGTTGGTTATTTTGTTTTTCATATCGGCAATCTTCCGACTCGTCCGGAATGTACGAAGACGTGCGTGGGAATCATTTAGGAGATTAATGTCTTGTTTTTGCGTTACAATACTTTAAGAATTATTGGGTACAGAGTTTCGAAATGTGACATACTCAAAAGACTAAACGCGCTATGCCTTTAGCGTTCATTATTCTGTGATATTCAAATATGCTTTACCGGTAACGCAAATATCAACGACACGAGAAAGATATCAACAAAATTACATTTGTGTACAATTAAATAAAATAGAATACTGTACAGTACACAATACAGTAAAATGTCATATAAGGTATCTTACTCACTGTATTTTGAAGTATCCCTATAAATAATTTGGAAAAGTTTGAAACCATTGAAATTCTTTTTTTAATACTTTTTAATAGTGCCTATATTCCACTCAAAATTACTCAAACTGCTACTAAAACTTCCAAAAAAATGTATACAATATTAATTAATGAACTAAATGTAGAGATCAAATTTTACTTTTCAAAAAATCGTGCTGTTTGGGAAAGGGGTGCCGAAAACCGATTATAACCCAGCTCCGTGAAAAGTAACTAGTACGAGAGAGTATGTGCCATTCTCTAGTCCCACTTGCTTGGCCCTTGTTTGTATATATATCATATTAATATATATATTTTATGCGGTTGCAGAGGGCCAATGGCCAAGGTGGAATAAATTTTAAAAAGAGATAAAAACGAACGCGTCTCCCGCACCGCCCACTTTTCTGTCAGATGTCTCTGTCTTCTCGTCGCGGCAGCGGCGAACCAACGTCGATAGCGTGTGCCAGAGGAGACGCTGAGGCAGCGCGTTGGGAAGGGCCTGACTGATCTCTTTGGATTGGACCCGCGGCAGGTGACTCTCAACTCCGGGTGAAGACTCTTCTCAATCCCCGTGAGCGTGGTGTCTCAACACCCTTAGCGAAGGGAGGGGCACCAAACAGCCCCGTGAGCTAATCGTGCCGACCTAGAGGAGCTTCAGTTGGCGAGCAAAAGAGGAACAATAAGATCCAATGCAATATATTGATAGGACTTAGTTTTTGCGAGTACAGATCACATGGTAATTTGGCACATATCTTAAATCTGATTTTTGGATATTCCCCTGATGTAACGAATACACCTTAAGACAATTGATAATATTCCGGTTCCGAGGTTTATATTGCGTTAAATTGATCAGATATTCCTTTTTACTTTCCTTCTATTATGCGCATGGGAACAGGTGCTGTTATTCTGAAGTAGAGAAAAATACATCTTATTTATTTGAGTCATACATTGCTACCGTTCAGAAAATATTCTGTTCTGAACATTTTCAGAGCATACATTTTAAGAGTTTGAAGGTTGCATATTCATTATTTTCATATTATTTCTAATACCTAGACACTATATTTTACCAAATGAACATCGGCCTATTTCATTAAACTCAATGAAAAACACGCACGAAACACCTTTTAATGAACTTTAATATGTTCTAAGTTCTCTTCCGGGCTGAAGGGCCGTGGTCTATTGGAAGACATATTTCCAGACGTTTCGTCTGCAGTTGTGGCAGACATCTTCAGTGGCGGTGCGGTCTTGGGCGAAGAACTCTCCTCGGTGGTTCACCGCTGACTGACCCACCGAGGAGAGTGAACCACCGAGGAGAGTTCTTCGCCCAAGACCGCACCGCCACTGAAGATGTCTGCCACAGCTGCAGACGAAACGTCTGGAAATATGGCTTCCAATAGACCACGGCCCTTCAGCCCGGAAGAGAACTTAGAATATAACGCCGGCCGTGAAAGCCTACAGTGTTTTATGAACTTTAATATGATTCTATCATTATTCTCTATTTTCCAATCATTATTTCTTAGAATCTAGAAGTGACTTGCGAACACGTATAATACCGCCCGGGGCCTGCACTAGTGCCACAGCCGAAAACATCATGTGCTGAGATAAATGATCTAGACGTTTCACCTTGTATTGAAATGCTCCATTCTTGCATTCACACTTCTGCCATTTGTTTGTGGAATTCTGTGCTGCAAGATGATATATGCTGCTGTTGCTGCTGGAAGGTAGACCAATCTGCAATTCTGGAGAGTGCCTTAAGCGCATTTGTATTTTTTGTCAATATTACAGCTCACGAGCGATATAAATACATCATAATTTTAATTATTTTATTTTAAAATATACATAAAAAAATAAATGTAGAGAAAACTTAGAAGTAGTTTTGAACAACCCATTTTGAAATGGGCAACTGAAGTAATTTTCTTATTCCCGTTCCCGTCTGGCTGATAATAGATAATGAAATAAATACTTCTACCATTAACAGTCAACAATATGGCAATCCCCCACTTTAATACTCGCACTGCTTCGTTCTGACGTTTCAAGGAAGGTCGCCTTACCACCCCTTTCGCACCTTTTTCGTCTGAAAATGTTCGTTCCTAACAACTCATTTCGCAATAAATAAATAAAAATTTTTAAAAAAATACTCCCGTGCCCGAGAGCGGCCGCTAGGGCCTGTGCGTGGAACCCACGTGCGCTGTCGCTACCTCCTTCGCCGCCGCCGCCGCCGCCAAGGGACATTTCGCCGGCGCCGATCAGATAAGCAGCACAAACCGTTCCCGCCCGAGGACGAATTGCTCCGAACGTCCGAGGCGAGCGGACAGAATAATGAGACTGTAAAACGTATTAATTGCGCTTAAACGTGCCATTACGAGAATGGATTATTCGTGTCGGCGTGGAAGAGGCATGCTCCGCCGAGGCGAGGCGGTTGAGGGTTATGACCGGCGCGGCGCGGGGCGGCACGGCCTTTGCGGCGGCCGCGGCCGGCGCCGACGCTTGTTATTACACCTGCGTGCGCCTATGGTATATGTGACAGCGACGGAAGACGAGCTACAGGAACACGCCGCGTTGAATGCGGGTTCTCTTTGTTGATCTCTAGACGATCGCATCCTTTAGTTGTGATTGATAATACGAAGCCTAAACGGGCCAGCAGTGCGAGGATCAATAGGGTGATGAGTCTTGGACCGCACCCCAAGACTGTTGGAGCGGACGCCTTTCTTTTACTACAGCAGATTTAAGTGGATGTATAGGATTTTAGCTCAATAAATTTAATTATTGATTTAGTTATAAGATTTTAATTGAATAATTGAACGAAACACTTGTTTTAACGACGTGGATGGCCGAGGTGGCTAAGAGCGTGTACCGGCTCAGCGCTTCGGTCTGAACAGTCGAGAGTTCGAGACCCACCTTGGGCATGGTGGTTTGTCCCTTGTGTCTCATGCATGTGTTGTCGCGGAGGGTCTCGCGTTCTTCTAAACCAGATCAGAGGAGCCTGCTAGTGTGTTGGTGTCTGCTAGTCTATGATCGAATGTGCGTCCCATCGGGTCGTAAAGGGTAACCGGCTGTCGGCAGGACAAAAACCCTAGAAAAAGAATATTAAAAAAACTACACTTGTTTTAAATTTGCGTGGTGTACGGAAATGATGTTTCTAACACTGATTTATTATTATTATTATTATTATTATTATTATTATTATTATTATTATTATTATTATTATTATTTATTTATTTGCGAATCGACCATTCTGACCATGCTACACGTTCTTTTCCAAGACCCAGCCATATTCTAGCTCGGGGAGAGGTTAACGTGTGTCATTATGCGGGTCAGTTTTTCGGGAGTATCCTTTGGTAAGACAAGGCTGTTAAGCCTTGATTTATGAATTATGAGATGATATGATGATGAGAGGTGATCGTGGCCTTTCTGAACCATCCTAGCATCCACCTGTATGTTTGAGGGAGACCACGAAAATCCCAGTTAGAATGGTCGGTCCGAGAGGAGGATCGAACCCAGGCCTCCCGACTGCGAAGTGAGCGCGCTACGGTACATTAATTTATTATTAGTGTGTGTGTGTAGATATGTGCTATTTGGTGGGCTTAGTTTTGTATGTGCCGTAGGTCAGTGACGTGCGGTGTGTTGTTTTTTGTTTTTTTCCAAGGGCGGTAACTTAAATAAACTAACTTAAAACTAATTACATTTTCTCTTTGGGAATTGTTTGTTTTGTTTAATCATATTGATGTTTAGATTAGTTCTTTGTATTGTTCTTGTTTCTTCTTTTCTTTTGTTCATTTTCACAGCATTCATTCTTAGGCTATATTTACAATCTCATTCATTCATACCACATCAATATTTGCACTATATGCACTATTTACACCATTTACACCATTTACACCATTTACACCATTTACACCATTTACACCATTTACACCATTTACACTATTTACACTGCCTTTTAATCGCCATGGGGCCGACTTTACTGAGACGTGCGGCGTGTTGCAGGCTGTTCGGGCTGAAGCGGTGCGGGCGCTGCCGCGCGGCCATCCTGGCGTCGGAGCTGGTGATGCGCGCGCGCGAGCTCGTCTTCCACGTGCACTGCTTCTGCTGCGCCGTGTGCGGGCTGGCGCTCACCAAGGGCGACCACTTCGGGCTGCGCGACGGCGCCGTGCTGTGCCGGCTGCACTTCGAGCTGGCGGCCAGCGCCGGG